AAAAATTTTTTTAATGTTTGAGAGCTTTAATTGATATTTAAACAGCTGCGAAAAATTTTATAAAAAAATTTCAAGGTTTCACAATATACCTTGCGAAATTATTTAATTAGAAAACACTGAAAAAATTAAACAAGTGAAAAATTTGATTTTCCCTAAAGCTCGAATGCTCGGTCTATTTAGCAACATGTCTATTTTACTAGGCCTTTCAAAAACTGTTTGCTTGAAACGCCCATCGTTTTCAGAATGGAGGTTATCATCCAGAAACCCAAAATAAGTAAAAATTTCGAGAAAATTCGTTAAAATCCCTGTAACTCCGAATCCCCTGAGATTTCGTACCTAGTCCGAAGCAAAATTTTAACTCATTTTCGATCCACTAATCAATGGTATATGTTGTTGTATACTTTTCTGAATCACCCTGTATGCATGAAAATATTATATGTTCAAAGGTATTTACTAAAGTTGTCGTCGGGCTTATTTTTCTGATTTCGGAACGATGTTTAATTGGATATTGAAGGACACTTGTCTCGAATAACCAAAAATTACTCTTTTTTTAAAAGCAAGTTTCTATTTTTAAATTATTTTCACTAATATAGCAAAAAAAATTCAATAAACATATTTTGCATATGTTTAGGATGAAAACTAAAATCAAGCGTTCGTATAGTCTTCGAATTGAATGGCTAATATTAAGTATGTGGTTTGAACATTTGCGGCTACAGTCTAATGGTTTTATTGAATTTTAGAAAAGCCCACAGTTTTAGAAAAATTATAGAGCAGAAAATTACAATTCTTTTAATTTTTGGAGGTGAAAACAAAGAAAGGGAGGTAGATAAAAAAAAAATTTAGCTCCCAATATAGAAAACAATTATCATATTAATGTTCTACAAACTATTAAAATTTTAGTTTTTTAGAAATCATCACCCCAAAAATTATATAAAATAATTCTTAGCGAAAATTTAAAGTATTTTCTAAATTTTTTAATGCATATTGTCAGGAGTTGAAATTATATTTAAATCTTTAATTCAAAAAATAGATGTTTTACAATTATTAATGCTCCTTCTGGAAGTTCTAAAGAGGTACAGTAGTCTCAACGAAATTAATATCAGCATTCATTTCATGGACATGTGAAATTATTATTGATAAATAAGTTCGTAAGCTTTTCTAATTATAATTTAACAAGTATTATTAAAAAATTTGCCAAACCAAACGTTGAGGAAAATCCCTTTATTTTAAATTACTTTTAACTGTTATACAATAATTTTAATTTAGATAAGAACACAACCGAGTTGCAAAATGAAAAGTTCCAACGATTGTTTTATCAGATTTTTCCATCACAAAATTCTGTTTTATAATAAGCATTCATCTACATAGTCAAACGAAATCTCATTTTTAATTAATTTAATAAATCTGAACTGCTTCACATTTTATTGTTATAAAAGTGTATCTTTTATTTTCACATAGATTACTTACAATTTTATTATAATAACATTAATATAAAATAAATAAGCTACATAATTTCATACACACATACAAACAGATAATAAAATTTTCTTTTTTCTTGTCAACCAAAATTTGAAATGGAAATATAAAAATATTTTAAATACAGCAACAACAATACAGCAAAAAAATATTTTATTTACCCTATACTTGTACATAAGAATGCACAAATATTAAACACGTATGAGTACAAAGTTTATGTGCACATATAATAAAAAAAAAAAAAACAAAAAAAATTCTAAAAAGGATCTAAAGTGTCGTTAACAAGTTTTAACAAAATTTTTGTTTCTTCTTTCTTATTTTTACAATACCAGCCATAGCTATACTTGTATAGCTAGTCGAAATATTTTTATTTAAATGTTTGTTTGAATTTAAAAAAATAATAAAGTTGAAGGATTTTTAAAAAAGAAAAATTTGAATACAGTCTCATACTTTGAAACAAGTAATATTTTTCCAAGTAAAATTTAAAAACAACAAATTTTAAGTAACTAGGATGGTAAAAAGAAATTTTCTGTCAAAATCATTTTTATTTTTGAAAAATATTTAAAAATTGAATTTATTTCTTAAAATTTTCTCGGTGTTCTTTTATTTTGTTCTATGAATCAAAGCATATTACATAGAGATATTTAACCCTTTCCTTAAAAATTTGGAAAGTAATTGAATAAAATTATTTTTACACAATTTGTTGCAAAAGCTTCCGTCACGATATTCTAATTACGCTGGTTTTAACAACGTTAATTTTCAGCTCTAAAAGTACTTATGGAAGAGACCACATAACTTTATCAAGAAAAAATAGAAAATTTTTGCTAAATTTCTTTTGTAATCTGGTTAAACTCAAAATTTTGTTAAGAATTTTTTAATTTGAATTAAATGAAATTTAAAGCTTTCTCTTCAAAAACTCTAAAACTCTAATTAAAATAATTTTGGTGGAATTTATCAATATTTTTTTTAAGCTTAATCATAGATTTTCGAAATAATTTTAAATTTTTCAAAAATAATTTGGCAAAGTTTTTCGAAAATTGAATAAGCCATATTTTTCGGGATTTTAGACTCCAATGCCAAGAACCCAAATATTGTTATATCTTATTATTTTTATTGGTGTAGTGTGCCAATGATCCATATTCTGCTTATAAGAGTAATTTATTGTATTATTCAAAATTAAATTAAAATTTCCACGCTTTACTTATTTTGAGAGTTTGTAGAATTAAAATACAAAGATAAAAAAATTGACTTCATATTTGAAATAATATTGAATATGAGTAAATAATTCTACAGTTCTTGGTTGGACCAGTAAAAAATTTGTTTTTGGGTAACTTATAGAAAAAAAAAACTGCATGATAAAAATAAGAAAAAACCAAATTTCCCAAAAATACATTTTTAACCAAGTGAACCGCTGAAAAACAAAATCATTTCTTTTTTACCCGATATAAAGTGAGTCAACTTACTATAGTAAAAAAAGAGTTACAAAAAGGTGCTTAAAATTGCATAGAATATTACTTGAATAAGATGAGCAGTATTATCTTCAGTTTAACCCACATAATGAATTGTACAAAAAGTTAAACAAAACTTTGTCAGTTATGCTGCATAGAATAACAACTGAATTAAAGCGAATAAAGGTTATAAAAGGCTACGTTTACTATTAATTGCATTAAACAACCCTCTTGCAATAAACAAATTTATAAATTATGTTCACATTAATGTCGAACTCTAATTGGAGGTCAAAACGGGAGATAACCTACAAATTTACTTCTCCAATCTCCTTGGAGGTTAAAATATAAGAGAGGTTATGAGGATTTGTAAATTTTAAAGATATTTAAGTTTGAAAGGATTGGGTTTTTAAGGATGTTTAAATTTTTCAGATTAATTCCGATCGCAATTTAAATTTCTTAGAAGTACATACGTATCTGCAATAAGCACTCTGATATCCGAACCATCAAATATCGAAATATACAACTTTTTCAGAAATTTAACATTCGGCTACAAACTGATTTTTTTACGAAATAATTTGTTTTTCTATTTACTTCGAAATCTGTCAGTATGGAAACTCTTTATTTCCATATTATTATAAATTGTGGAAAAAACCGCTCCTCTTGTTTTACAACATAAATATTTATTTTAAAACGAAAAATTTAAAATTAAACTTAAAATATGAGAATTTTTTTTCCTCGTAAAATAAATACAAATTTAATGGATTCTTATTTCCTTTATTTTTTCTGAAGAGTTATGCAAATATAAAATTTATTTTGATTATTTTAGAATTTTTTACTGTATATTTTACAGGTACAAAGAAAAAGTGTTAGTTTTTCTTAAGAATTTCAGAATAAAAAAAAATGTACTCTAAAGCCGTAAAGTGATTCTTGTGAAATAAAAAAAGCAACCTGTTACTCCTAAACCATAAGAGCGCAGTTTACTTTTAACATTTTTATTACATTTTTATTTTCTATTGAATTTCATTCCAATCACAATTTTTTGTCAGAAAAATCACATGATTAAAACAAAGCTATGAAGTATTTTTCATATCTTGACATTACTTTCTTAGTTACTTGCACACTTGCTTGCAGTAGGTTTCTCTTTTTCAACTTTATAGTTAAATAAAGTATAGTGTAGAATTTTGTAAGCTGAACAGGTTTGTATATGCTAATACATTTAAAAATATGCTGGGATGACGTCTAATATTCTTTCTAATAAATTGTAAAATACCTTAAAGTGTTATAAAAGCATAGGATTTAGAAAAATTACTTGCATTCGAAGTAATTTAGTAGGAAACGCGTACAACATCTTTTAATTTTATAACATATTAATTCTTTTATACCAGCTTTACAATAATTCAAAATATAACAAAAAAGCATAGGGAAAAATTTATAGTCTTATAAAGACACATAAGTGCCCTGTCTTCTCCGGGATTGAAACAATCCCAAATTAGAGCAAAAGCGAAGTTTTTTTCTAATACGCAATGTGTTGTAATTTTAATACAATTTATCCTGTCTTCATTAATGTATAAAAAACTACTGTCAAAATACGGTAGGGTAAATAAAGCTACATTATTGAAAACGGTTAACTACATTTTTGTAGTATTGTTATAGAAATTTTGTAAGTGTCAGAATTGTGTTCACTCACTATTGCCAGTTTTTTTTCTATTACTTATTCAAAAAAACTATAAATTCCAGGTAACATAAAAATTTTAAGAATGAAACTTTGTTTAGATTCAATGTGGGATTTGGGATTCAATAGAAAAGCATAGGAAAGTGTATTTAATAAATCAAGTTTGATAAAAAGAAAAAGAAAATTTATCTTAACAAAATTGCTGATTAGAAGTAGATTCAAAAAACACCGCGTAAACAAAGCAAAAAATTTTGAAAAACAAATTTCCAAGTTTTCGGATGATGTTTTCAAGAGTCACTTTAGAATGGGGCGTTCCACCTTTGAAATAAGTACATGAATTTATGTCTAAAATTAAATGCTCTTAGAAAGTAAAAAACATCAAATGACGAAAACTATCTTCTCAGATTTGAAAGAAAAATATTACGACAAATATATGGACCAATTAGATTAAGCAATAATGAATACAGAAGAAGATTTAACGATGAATTATATGCACTTACACAGAACGAAGACATAGTAAAGTTTATAGAATCCCAACGATTAAGATGGGCCGGACATGTCATAAGAATGCCCGAAAACAGAGATCAAATACAAATACTAAATGCAAGAGCACTGCTAACAAGAGCAAGAGGACGACCAAGAAATAGATGGTTAGATGACATAGAATTCGATGCGAGAAAATTAGAAATTATAAACTGGAGGACGACTGCAAGAGATAGATCAAATTGGAGGGAAATAGTGAAGAAGGCTAAAGCTCATCAAGGGCTGTAACGCTATAAGAAGAAGAAGAAGAAGAAAGTAAAAAACCTGTTGCAAGCACAATGGAAAAATTATTTTTATGGAAGACCATCATGTATGACGCTTACAAAAGCATTACATATAACCATTTGGAAGCTGGCAAATGGATTCACTTTTAGAGAAATTTCCAATTTATTCAATATTGCACAAGGTGCTGCATTTAATATTAGTCTTATTGTCATCAAAATGATATATAAATTAAAAAACAATTTTATAAAATGGCCTAAGTCCGTAGAAGAAGAAATAAGTATTATGGAATGTTACTTCTAATGTCCAGGTTTTATCAATTTCTTCCCTGTAAATTAAAAATAATGTTAATACATATTTTCCAAAAATATATTGCATAAAAACATAAAAAAACTTACATTTTGAATCAAAAAATAACGAGCGCAAAAATTCTCCCAAAAGTATACAAAAAATTTTAACTAGACAAACTACAAATAAATGACACAATTGTGACATAATTGTGACATTGATGAATACACGAGTTACCGTGAAAAGAATGGCTTGCAGAAATACCGTATTTTTGCTTTAATGAAGAACGCCTTACTTACAATAAGAGTGGATATGGTACATGGAATACACATTTATTTCCAAAATACACCCGATTTACTCTTATTTGAAGAAATTACCCAATTACAAGTCTGTGTATATAACGGGAAAATGAAAGTGGAGAATGAAGGTAGAGAATGAATGAAAACAAAAAGAAATTAAAAAATTTATAAAAACCTTGCCAGTGGAAAACTACTTTCAGTGTACGATTTCCAAAAATGAAATAGCCAAAATTTTTTTAAAAAAGGTTATGTATTGAAAGTGTTTTTCTGGGTAAATTTAATTTTGTGTTAAGAATATAACTATACTATCAAAAAGAAAATATTATTTTCCTAGAAAATTCTAATAAGCTTATTTTTTTAACGAAAATGAATAAAATTTATGTGAAACGTCCTGTTCATATGTCTTAATGTACCAAAAAGTATGATACAATATTGTTATTTTTAATATAACAAAATTTGAAGGTCATGACTGTAATATTTACAATTTATACAAAAGAAATAAAAAACGCTCAGAATAATATTTAAAGAAAATTATTTCCATTTCATTTTTTATTACCGACCGCATTGCATACAATAAGGGAGGTAATGTGATGGCAACAAATTTTGCATATCGAGTTTTCGGTGGGAACGCTCTTCTTCATAGTAGTGAAGCGTAAATAGACTATTTTTGGAGAGATGTCGGTCTGTCTGTCAGTCTTTATGTGCACGCGTGTACCTCAAATTCAATTGAAGCGATTTTAATGAAATTTTACGTGAGTTTGTTTGGGCCAATTTTACATTTTTGCTTATATAAATAATCAACCAATTTCCCTGAAATTTAATATTTAAATTTGGAGTGTTAAAACAATGAACATATAAATTTTTTGGAACGATCAGGACTCGGAAACCAAATTTATGGCCGATTTTACATTTTTTACCATAACTGCGGAACGGATCGATGGAATTTCTTGGTATTTGAGCTCTGGTTATTATCGAAACTAACTGACGAGCTTTTCAAGGAAATCAAATGGCACAAAGCGAAACTCTACTAAGAACCAAATTTACATTTTTCTAGAAAAAAGTGTTTAAAAGGCTTTTCTGTAATCTTCTGTAACACTTTCACATATCTAGACAAAATACATTGCGGTCGGTAATGTGCTGATCACATCAGATTTTTTTTCTATGCGAAATAAATTAAATTTATGGAACAGTCTATATTCAAAATAATTGTTATAAATACACAAATGAAATTAATTTAGGTCTAACAAATGGTATACGGAACAGTCCATTTAATTTTTTTCGAATATAGCTGTAAAACTTTAGTTAAACTGGCATTAGTCTTAATAAATTATTAATGAAGAAGAGATCGTGTATGTTTTTCAATACGAAATAAAATTGTACCTTACCAATATTTAAGTAAATTTCCAAAATACTTTAAGAGTTTAATTAATAACTAAAGAGGAATATAATACAAATACTTATACTTAATTGTTTCGATAGTCCTATATATTGACCCATTTATAATTTAATCTAACATTTAAACCAAACGAAATTGTACGGTATAGAATCAAACCGAACGGCAAGTGTGTAATTCAAGAAATAGAAAAATTTCTTTCTAGAGAGAATGTTAAATGAATTCCTAACAATGCTAGCACTCATCAGTTTCCTATTAAATATTAAATAATAATTATATTCTTTATTTTTCTTTTAATGTTCTCCATTTTTCTATTATGTCCTTCTATTTAACATGAACGAACGGACTTTTAAAATTTTTGAAATAACTTTCTATTATTTAATGATATTTTCTTAGAAACAGTAACAATAACCAAAAAAAGTTTAAACTGTCTTTTGTCTTCTTTAATTCATTCTCATTTATCCAGTTTATTTCTTATTTCTATTTCTATAGACATAGTTGCTTTATATGCTATCGTTCTTAAATTTTTTATAGTAACTTTAGCAGATTTCAATTAAATTTGATATTAGTATTATTAGGATTTTTCCATTTCAAGTATATTATTTTGTGTGCCTTTACTTATTTCTCTATACCAACTTAAATTTACGTTTCGTTTGTCTGTAAAAATCAAATATTCTTGAAAAAAAAAATTTTTTAGAGAACAAAACACGAATGAAAGTGTTTCTATGTAACAAGAGATGAATAAACTTAAAGATGAGAAAGAATTAAATATGAAAAAGGCTGAAAGAAGAAATAAACTGAAATAACAAGCTTGGAAAGGAAAAAACCATAAACAATAAAGTACAAAATATTACAGTGTAAGGAAATAGAAAAATAAATGAAGTAGAGGACGAAATATCAGAGAATCGGAAATGAGATGAATATCCGGATAGAAGATTTTAAGTAGTAGAAGAACAAAAAATTGAAAATAATAATAAAAAAACAAAAATAATACGAAAGTAATTATACAAAATAGTCTTTGTAATGTGACAAATTGAATGAACAATAAATGGATTTCTAGCTTCAATTCTTTTTCTTCTCAACGAACATGAAATATTGAAGACTATGTAAATTATAGGAGGATTTTGATACACTAAAGCAGAATTAAATTAATTTGGATTTTAAAATAAAAAAAAAGAAAAGAGTAAATAAAATTGACTTGAACTTATTTATTAGACTTTTTTTTCTTAATTTGGTCTTTTTTTTTTTAGAATTTCATTAAAATAATATGCAAAAATCAGTAAATAAAAAAAAATAATAATATACAAAATTTTGTTTTTACAATTTTGAGAAATTTTAAATTTAGAGCAATTAAAATTTTGTATTTATATCGTAGATAAATTAGAAATTTCCTCTCTTACACACATTAGAAGTGTAGCCCGCGTATAGATACTACTTTGTTAAAATATATGACGGAAGGTACGTACCAACAATTTACATAGTAATGATTATAATAATGAAAACAATCATCCTACATGTATGCAATTTTTTTGAAATTAACTAAAAATTTTTTAAATGATATTTTATTGGGAAAAGAACTGTAATCTAGAAAATATGAAATATAATTGTAAACATGTTGGAATTCTTATATACCCTACTACACATATTATTATTATGTATTACGGTTTAATTATTATTTTTATTCTTTTTAGAAATAAAAAATAAGAAAATTAAATCCACCCAAATTTTTAGAATTTTCGTACTCTTTTAAAAAAATAAAAATGTGGTTCAAGCGCATAACACTCTTAATATTAACAACTCAAATTATTAAATTAAATAGCTTTGTATATTAGAATGTTATTTAATTACATAATTTTATTCATTATATAATTGTACTATGCAAAAAAAAAACAAAATGAAAACAACATAAGTGCTTTAAAAGTAGTTTTCAAAAATAGAAACAAAAATTTCTTCTTTTCCTCATTTTTAGATTTCTATTCCTTTATTTTTGGAACTTCTTATCTTAAAATTACCATTTTGAATTTATATAATAGTACAAAAACAAAAAACAAAAAGAAGAATAAAATTAAAATAATTTTAATTTGCACATTGTTAAATTTTTAGGTCAAAGTACAGTGTATAACACTATAATATAATAAATATAGAGTGTATAAGGAATATTATTTAATATTGCAAGGATAAAAATCCTGCTAGTTTTTTTCTTTTTGAATAACATCATGATTTTAATTTAATTTCCTTTTTTTTAAACTTTGATACAAACGCTCTCTTCTTACTTATATGTAAGTATTATACTTATTCATAATACTTATCCATATATTTTGTAAATCTTATAAGGTGCATGTCCTTCAATTACACCATGAGTAAAAGAAAAAAAAGAAACAAAATACAATAATAATTTTCATTCTTGTGTTTTGTTTCGTTTTTATATGCACTTAATTTATCTTGAGAAAATGTAAATTTTATAATATAAGAGCGTACTCAAATATTATATTATGTACATACAATGTATGCTATACTAATAATTCGTATCTTTATAAAAATAAAATAGTATATATAAGGAAAAATATTTTTGAAAGGGAATAATAATAGTTTTTCCCCCTATTTTATTGCTCAAAAGGACCTCCAATATTTTAAACACACATTCAATCCATTGTAATATTTTCCACTTTTTTTTTTTGTTTTACTTTTTGCAAAAGTTGTATAAGAATTAATATAGGGTTCCGCATTTTTCTCAATTTTTATTTTAACTGAAAAAAAAGAAAATTTCTCCGTATTATAAAATAATTGCGTTGGATATACGATCGTATAAAGTACTGTAATAATCCTAAATGTATAATTTTAAAACTGTTATATTATATAGGAATGTATTATAGGTATACTTGTAAAGTGCTTATGTAATTATTTCGTAAGGCATAAAATATCTTTATGATTTTAAAAAGTATACTTTAATCGCTTTTGTATGCGGTACAATTGCAAGAATTTCTTATATTTATTTCTCTATAAAAAAAATTTTAACTCTATATTTG